TCTCATGTTTGAAAAGTGATCCTCCTGATTTAAAGTACCAATAAGAGGTTTATTTATTAAGACACAGCTAATAATGATGGTAACTATAGACAATCCAAATAGATAAACAAGTAGGTCTTCTGGATGGGTTCTTCTTTAATGAAACGTTTTATCTCTCCTCCAAGAGACTTCTTCAGTCTGAGGAGTTTCAGGTGAACTCAGCCTTATTAGCACTGCCTCCATGTGATGGACAAACAGGTTTAACGATGACCATCAAAACAGTTGTTTACTTGCAAAAGAGGACCATCAGCCTAACAAATGATCTCTTGTTAGGCTGACATCTTGCTTATAAGGCTGAGTTCACCTGAAATTCCTCAGACTGAAGAAATCTCTTGGAGGAGAGGTGAAACGTTTCATTAAAGAAGAACCTGTCTAGAGGATTTACCTTTTTTTACCTGGATTAATGAGATGCATCAGGACGTAACTATAGACAAATTTTACAAGTTATTATTCTTAAATAAGTGGATAAATTGGTCTTCCAAACTCTGTTACAATATTACAAATGTGTGACAACCTTAACAGATAGGATTGGTCCAAGATAGATAGAGGTGTGTGTAATACCAGAGAAACAACTTGAGTTAGTGTTCATTTGTAAAAAAAAAAAAAAAAGGGACAAAATATAGACCTGGCAAAGCGATTTACATTATTTTTTTTTTATGATCTAAGGGTATTATAAGCAGAGTGAAGCACCTCACTTGACAAAGTCTCCCCGTCCACCTTCGGGGGACTGAGACATGCTCAAACAGTAGTGCAGCAGCTGTAGTTGCAACACAAATGACTAAAAACACTTTTGGCCACTTGCTGAGCCTTGCATTTCTGTTCGCTGTGAACATTTCGACCCAGATGATGACTGCAAGTGAAACCGCAGAACAAATGCTGTACCCCCAAAAAGCAACATTTTCTAAGAAAAGAACATTGTTTAAAAGTGGCAAGACGTGACAGAGTCGAGGTTATTTATTTATTTTTAGCTCATATTATTTGTTAACCTGGAATCAGTGCAGAAGAAACATGGCAGGGTAGCTGCAGAAACAAGYATTTTTACTTTGTCTGGGACAGCTGCAGTTTGGATTACTTTGYGGCTGTCTGCTTGTTTTAGCTTACTACTGTTACATTTTTGTCCCTATTAATCATTTAGTTAAAACAATATAGGAAAAAATGGTATACGTGTTAAGGAATGTATTTGTAAAGTAAACATARATACAGTTTTGTGGTAAAGTCTGTTTAGACATTTGTCGTATGAAACAACATATTTCAGTAATTTCAGTCACACCAGCAAGGTGGAGTATCTACATTTGACATGCTTCAGATTGTTTTTGGCTTACCACAAAGAAATCATGGTAACTTTGAAACAAAACAAAACAAAACAAAACAAAACAAAACAAAACAAAACAAAACAGCTTTATATTTACACTTTCACATATTTAGAAGAATTGCTACATTGGTTGTGTCACATTTAGACGTTAATCTCTGTTTATCAAAGGACCACAGTGTACTGAGACAGAGACAAGACCAAGACTTTTGGGGACTGGATCAAGTTGAGACCAAAACCAAGGGAGGTTCATGACTAAGTCAAGACCAAGACCAGAAAAAACAAAACAAAACAAAACAAAACAAAACAAAACAACAACAACAATAACAACAACAACAGCAACAACAACAACAAAAAAAAACTACAAAAATAAAAACTAGTGCCCTAAAACATACAGAATACTGTACACGGTAGCTAACTTATGTGTAAAGCTAATATTGACTAAATTTCTTTGTGTGAGGGCAGAGTAAAAAAATTTTCTACAGAGGCAAATTGCTAAAATTAGTTAGCTATCTTTGGTAACATCACTTACACATAGCTTACCTTTCTTTGTGCTTCCTTAAGTGACGATACTGCAGAATGAACAACTTGGAGTGCTGCGTGCATATGAAAGGGAGTAGGGATGGGTGACAGCAATGAGTCAGGCTTCGATTTGAATCATTATGCTTTCCATCTAGTGAAAGCAAGGATGTTAACAAAGAAATTGGACATTATTCTGGCAATTTAGTGATATTTCCACAGTTGTGRTCTTTACTGGCCTTGAAATAGAATTCAGGGTCCTCAATRTCCGAGACCGAGACAAAATCAAGTAGAAATCAAAAACTGGTCTTAAAGGGATTCACGATAAGTTGTAACATTAGACTTTATTTGATAAACATTTATTTTAACTGTAAAATAAAGACTGTAAAAATACTGTAGGCTGTTCAGTTTTTATAATTTTAAACTAAATTTAAAAAAAATATATAACAGACTGAGCCATTTTATTTACACCTTTTAAGACCAAGACTGGTTTCGAGTACCACAACACTATGAAAAACTGCTCATAGATAAAGCAGTTGGTTAATAAACACATTAGCATAGACTGTAGCATTGTATCAACTCAACAAAGAACTTATGCAAGCTGCAGGGGCATTGCTATGAGGTCATTTTCAAGTGAATATAACTAAATTCTGCATGCTTCTAGTTAATTTTGAAAAATAAAAACAGACTAATTTGCAGGTGTTGCTTGGTAAAAAGTTCAATTTAAGGTTTRAATTTCACCAGAAACACAAGGAGCTTGGCCAATAGCTCATGGTTAAGATTAGTTATGTATTAGAATTTTTATAAAAAAAAGTCCCTCCCCATGTTTATCGTATTTTTTTTATTTAATGCAGCTGTGTGTATCGTAGAGTAAACTGTAAGGCTGACATAAATTACAAATCTGTATTTTGTCTATGTGAAAAACATGAGCAACAAATCTAGCATTTTACCWGATAAAATTGGAATGGTTAACAATTTAATATATCATTTAACTATTTTACTATTGGTTAGATGATTTTGATGAATCTAATCAACTTGTAAAAAAAACCTTCATCTACTGCTGTAGTAATGTTAGTTGTTTACCTTGCCAAGCAAATCTCAACCATAAAAACAGCCAGGTTTTTTTAAGCCATGTTGCCCCGCCCCCCACCCCCCCATTGTTCCTGCAGCAAAACTTTATGTGGTTATAAGACGATGCAAGCAGGCAAATTTGCCTCGAGGAATTTCACTAGTATATGAACTTGAGAATGAAGCAACACCACAGTTTTGGCAGGAAACACCCCTGAAACCACTGTGGGATGTGAAGCCTTGAAGGATCAGTAAAAATGCATCAACAGTATGTCACTGAGTTACCATCCAGCTAATGTGCCTGAGTAAAAATAAAAGCAAAAACAAAACCAACAAAAAACTAAAACTTTTACTTATGGTCGGTATAAATGATGCAATATCCAGAGCAACATTGCTCTTATGTTTTTATTTTTATTTTGTTTGTTTTTGAGCAGGAAGACACAAGGGGCGTCATGTTGTAGTGTTTGTTGTTGTCCATTTGTGCTCATGTGATGGTTGGAGGTTTTTAAAAATATGTCRATTACTATTTTTACCTCATTAAAATTTCAGTCCTGTATGAAAATAAAGCTCCACCCATTACAGTTAGCAGAGAAGTGGTAGATAACTACATATCTTTGGTGTATTTGATTTTACCTGATGCAACAACACTCTGCCAACACTGGAGAACTCAACATCTGCATGTTTCCCATCTAAAATACAGCGGGAAAGGACACAAACACTGTGCCTAGAGATCAACTCACCCTTAGTGGTGCTAGAATTAAAACTAGAATTAAAATTCACTTGCGCAGCTGGATTTAGTAACAAGTCCTCGTTTTAATTCCTGTGTCACTTCCCACTGTAGGTAAAGAATAAACTGATCTGATTAGGGCTATGATTTTACCGGAGGGTAGGTTTTAAAATTTTGCCGACAGAGAATTTTCATGTTACACTGCAAAAAATGTCCACCTAACCAAGTTTTAAAATCTTATATCCAGCCAAAATGTCTTTTTGATCTCATTTTGAGACTGATTTACTAAACAAGAACTGATTGTGTAAGAACAATAATCTAGTTTTCAGAATGTGTAAGATTATTTGTCTTGTTTGCCTGAAAATCAGACTCAAATTAAGTCAAAAACTTCTGCCAATGGAGTAAGAAAATTGTACTTGGTAAGATTCCTGAAATACTTGATTTGACTAAATTTTTCTTATTTCAAGAATCTTACCAAGTAAAATTTTCTTACTCCATTGTTTTACTTACTAATTTGAGTCAATTTCTCAGGCAAACAAGACAAATAATCTTACAAATTCTGAAAATAAGGTTATTATTCTTACACAATCAGTTCTTGTGTAGTAAATCAGTCTCAAAACAAGATCAAAAAGACTTTTTGTCTGGATATAAGATTTTAAAACTTGGTAAGATGGACAGTTTTTGCAGTGTTGGCCTCGTGAAGTTTACAGTTGAATAGAGATAAAATCTAATGGGTTCTTAAAAAAACAAGCTAATCCACATTCATTTTTTAGAGCTTTGTATTAAGTCTTTGAAAACTTCACGTGGTCAACTCTGACACTATATTTTTTTATAGATGTTGCTGTTTGTGTCCAGTTGTGTACTTTTGGCCTAAAAGTTGCCTAAAGCACTCTAAGATTGAACATCACGTCTGAAAATGTTGGGTGATTTACGCAACAAGCCTTTAATTAGTGTGACGTTTATTGTTATCAAAAAGTCTTTTGCTTTATGTTTTTGGAAAAAAAAAGAAGACAAATCATAACTCGCATTTTCTTGTTTTGTCTTGTCTTGTCTGTCTTGTCTCTGTCTGTTTTTATGTGTCCTTTATATCTATTTGATTTGATTTTTGTTTGTACTTTTCACTTATGTGCTTGATTTCCTCTTATAAACACCCTAAACATCATATTCATGTTTCCAAACTGTGTGACCCTCATAACAAAACCTCATCATAATGAATCATTTGTTTTCCATTACATTTTAAACATCCATCTTCTTTCTTTTCTTTTTGCTCCTCCTTTTTTTTGTTTCTTTTTTGCATACGTCCAAACATGATTGCTTGTCCAAATTATTTGTTAAAAGCGACGGGCTATGAGAAATCTCGTAGTCTCAATAACATATCCGGAGTGACGGGGTCAGCGCTACGACTTGCTCCTATTACTAGTCCACCATTCGAGACCTATGAGACCCCGGGACAACTGCGCCGCTGTCGTTCCCCTATCCCGTCCATTTTGTAGCAGAATGGATGCACGTGTTTGGAGAATTTTTTTTAAAGTGTCGTTTATCAGTTATGGCCTGATTACACGAAGAAACCGTGCGAACAAAAAGCAATAATGTTAAAAAAAGTATTTGAATGTAGAACGACTTGTAGTGTTGTGAATTTAACAGTTTGTTGTGCATGAATTAGGGTTGCCAGATGGGGCAAAGTGCAAAATGTAGCTTCCAAAGCAAAACATAATGAATAAAAAATTAAATATAGGAATTGGTTAGTAAATCAAATAGTGCCAGAGGTTATAGAAAAAAAAAAAGCGTGTCTACATTTTTAGAACTTCAATTTGTAGATAGACATCCATTTTTGTGTGTTACGTACCAAACATGAGCTCGTTTCTGCCTTCGTAGAAATGACCACAAATCAAAATGCATAGGCTCATTTAGCCAAAGAAAAACAAATTCCATTCATAGATTAGATTAAATAACTGATATATTGCTTGTGATTAACAATGTACAAGGCAGTACATAATTTGAAAAATGGTAATTTTTTAGACCACGGTATTATCATCAAGTCATCGTAGAACTATCTGTGGTTAGTTTGAGTTGTTAAACTAAATGATGTCCAGAGTAAAAATAAAGCCAGAAACTGTAGCATACAGAATAAAATTAAATATTTTTGTTTAGTTCATTGCTGATACAATCCCATATATGCAATTGATACATTGCAGCAAGTAGAGAAATGTCCATTCAGTCATAGGAGAAGATAAAAGACTTTATCATGCAGCTGCTAAAATAAATCATTAGTTGTTATATTTACTTTTTCATAACTATTTTGAATGTATGAAGTGTATTGTTTAAAAATGCTTTATTGAGCTGTGAGGATAATCTGTAAATATCAAAATTATAAGTTGTAGAGTTCATGTCAGTAATTTTGTTTTAGTTCATATTGGTATTGAGGAACAGATCCTTTAAACTTAAACATGTCAACTCTTTAAAGATAAAGCTCTTTAAATGACTTTGTCTTGGAGACACAGAGTTTAATTTTGACCAGACTGACAAGCTAATGGCTAGTCAGAATGGGGCTTAAACTAAAGAGGTTTGGTGCTATCTTAAACAACTCCAGTGTAAATATTTTCACAGTGGTATATATGTTTTCATGGCTTCCAAGTTCTCATCTCAAGTACTTTTATGGACTGAGGTAATTCAAGCTGGAATGACTGAATCTTACAAAACTGACGCTGTGTATGTTTAAAAAATAGCATTTGCATCCACTGCTGTGAAATATTTTAGATTCAAGTTGCTTAAGATGGTAATAATCTACTTTAGTCCCAGGCCAGTTTCTAATCGAAGGTCGTTCAAACAATTGTCTTTGACAGGTAAGATATTAATTCTTTATAAGCGTTCCACAGAACCATATTACAGAAGATTTAAACAGTTTTTATTTATATCACTAGTATTGCCTAGTTAACCACATACCACTTGTATTTTTAAATGGGTGTTTAAGCTGTCAGTTGCTTTTCACACTGACATATATTATCTGTCTGATGACACTAAATGACTGAATGGACCACTTAAAATAAATCCTAACCAGAACAGTCTCATAAAACATGACTGTTTTTTTAAAGGAAATCCAAATGCAATGTATTTAGAAAGCTAATCAGAAGTTACTTTAAAAAATGTCCAACAAATATACCACATCTGTTCAGGAGGACTGTGTAATTAGTATATAAAGTTAAAACAGATACAAGCACTTTACTAACAATCAGTACTAATTACTAACCTTTAAAATGTGCATGTTGGCATTAAATAACAATTACTTTCGAACATTTGAACAGATAGAGTGCAAGATCGTCAAACCAAATACGTCTCTTCAGCTTTGTCTGTTTCACTTCATAATTGTTTGTTTTATTTGTCCCATCACTTCTTTACTTTTGTTTTAAATGTTGATGAAAATGATCAAATCAAAAATATGTTGATTTATTCTTACTAAACCATTGAAACAATGCATCCATTTTAGTCAAGTTCATTTCAAGATTTTAATCTTTTCCGTACTTGTGTTAACAGAAGAGCAAAAAAAGAAAAAAAAAAGAAAAAGAAAAGAAGTCACATTCACATATGCAATAAACATGCAATATTTATTTAATGCTGGAAAACATGCTGTGCACAAAACATATAAATATGCAGATATATTTTTACCCTAAAAAATGTGCGCAGAAGTAGCAGATGGTTTGGCTGTTTCACTTGTACAAAAAAATTACGGCATGAACCATTTGTCATGTTTCATTTTAAGCCACTTTTTAAAAAATATGAGACTGATGTTATAAAACAAACCAAGGATGAAGTTTTCCAGTTGAAAATAAAGAACTATCCTTAGAGTCAGGACTTTAGAATTAATGTCATAAGTTCATTTTTTTTAATCTATGTGCTTCCAACAAATTTTAGATATGCAGCTTTTAGATGAAACCACTTATATGTTTAAATTTACGATTGTCTGGAAGTAAATTGTCTTTTTTATGATGCAGTAACTGTAAGAATTTAGGTTTTGTAGTTTGAATTCAAAATTGTGAAATCATTTATAGTTTCATTAAAATATTTTGATGGGAAAAAATTCACAATATTTAAATGTTGTCTGAAAACATAAGAAAAAACATGATTGTTTCTTAATTGATTCTGTGTTTTTATTTCAATTTAATGTATAATGCCAATGAACTTTTACTGTTACATGTTTTTTAAAGTTTAATTTGAAGAAAAAAAATGCACATTTGTGAAAACCCAATGAGTAGAATGCAAGTTAACATTGTGTTTATGAATTCACACGTGTTCATCTGAACATGAAAAGACATTTTTACTTTGTACCGTCACTTTTCTGAGAGTTTAAAGCTTAATTAAACATTTTAAGCTCAACTTATATAGTCATGAATTGACTGCAATTTAGATGTTGTGTTTTGAGGATGCTTTAACTTACAATTGACTGACTCTTTTTGTTGAAAATGTATACATTTTTGAAGCAAAAAAGAAAATGTGATGCTACAAAAGAACAAAGCCACAATGTCTCTCCTAGTTCTGTTTAACAGTTATAAAGGACCATATATTATTCATAGTTTTTATATTTTATCACATTTAATCAGTTTTATGTTATAACCCTTGGCTATCTTGTGATACAAAACACATTGTTTCAGCCATAATAAATACCTGGCACAGTCTGAGACAATTAATGAAGAAAAAGAGAGAACTAGGCAAAGTTGTGCCTCACTAAGGTCTTTGTAGACTCTGATGATAACTAAGGATCCATCCATCCATCCATCCATCCATCCATCCATCCATCCATCCATCCATCCATCCATCCATCCATCCATCCATCCATCCATCCATCCATCCATCCATNCCATCCATCCATCCATCCATCCATCCATCCATCCATCCATCCATCCATCCATCCATCCATCCATCCATCCATCCATCCATTCATCCATCCATCTTATTCCACTTATCTGGGGTTGAGTTGCAGAGGCAGCAGCCTAGGCAGAGACCCAGACTTACCTCTCCCCAGCCACTTGGGCCAGCTCATCTGGAGGAATCCCAAGGCGTTCCTAGGCCAGCCAAGAAACACAGTCCCTCCAGTGTGTCCTAGGTCTTCCTCTGGGTCTCCTCCCAGTGGGCTGTGCCCAGAATACCCCACCAGGGAGGCGTCCAGGTAAATTGAAAGCTTTGCCTTCTGGCTCAGCTCTCGCTTTACCACGACAGATCAGTACAGCTCCCCCATCACTGCAGACACAGCACAAATCCTTCTACTGATTACCACTCCATTCTTCTGTCATTCATGAACAAGACCCCAAGATTCTTAAACACTTCCACTTGGGGCAGGACCTCTTCCCTGACCCGGAGGAGGAACTCTACCCTTTTCTGGGTCAAGACCATGGATTTGGGGGCACTGATCCTCATCCTAGCCACTTCATACTCGGCTGCAAACTGCTCTAGTGAGAGCTGAAGACCATGAAGCCAATGGAACTAGATCATCTGCAAAAAGCAGAAATGTGATCCTAAGGTCACCAAAATGGATCCCCTCAACACCTTGGCTGCACCTAGAAATTCTGTCCATAAAAGTTATGAACAAAGGGCAACCTTGGGGGAGTCCAATTTTCACTGGAAATGAGCCTGACTTACTGCCGGCAATGTGGACCAAGCTCTGGCACTGGTCATGCAGGGACCTAACAGCTCGTATYGATGGGCCTGGTACCCCTTACACCCGGAGTAACTCCCACAGGACTCCCCAAAGGACATGGTCGAACACCTTCTCCAAGTCTACAAAACACATATAGACTAGTTGGGCGAACTCCCGTGCACCCTCCAGGACCCTGCTGAGAGTGTAGAGCTAGTCCAATGTTCCACAACCAGCATGAAAACTACACTGGTCTTCCTGAATCTGAGATTCAACTATCCAATGGATCCTCCTCTACAGGACCCTGAATAGACCTTACCAGGGAGGCTCAGAAGTGTGATCCCCATATAGTTCCCCCTTTTTAAATAGGGTGACCTCCACCCCAGTCTACCTATCCAGGAGAACTGCCCCCAATGTCCATGCAATATTGTAGAGTCACGTCAGCCAACACAACCCCACAACAACCAAAGCCTTCAGGAAATCTGGGAAAATCTCATCCACCCCTGGCAACTTACCACCGAGGAGCTTTTTAACCACCTCGGTGACCTCAGCACTAGAGATTGGAGAGTCCGGCCCAGGGTCCCCAAGCTCTGCTTCTTCATTGGAAGACATGCTGGTGGGATTGAAGAGGTCTTTGAAGTTTTCTGCCCACCTACCTGCATTGCCCCGAGTTGAGGTCAGCAGCGCACTATCCCCACCATAAGCAGTGTTGGTGGTGAACCCCTTTCCACCCCGAGATGCTGGATGGTGAACCAGAATCACCTCAAAGTCATATGGAAGTCGTTTTCCATGGCCTCTTGGAACTCCTTTCATGCCACAGCATTGGAAATCTGCCTCGACAATGGAGGCACAGAACATGGCCCACTTGGACTCAATGGGCCTCATGCAAGAACATGTTCGTATTCTTATCCTAAATTTTCTTACTTTTGTTCGTATGAAGGGTTCGTACATTCCCAGCAGACCCTCACTATACATATGTCCTGCCAGGTCTGACCAGCATTCTCCTCCACCATCAAAGCCAACTCACCACCAGGTAGTGATCAGTTGATAGCTCCGCCCCCTCTTCATCTGAGTGTCCAAGACATGTGGCCACAGATCAGATGAAACAACAATGAAGTCTATCATCGAACACCAGCCTAGGGTGTCCTGGTGCCAAGAGCACATATGGACACCCTTATGCTTGAACACGGTGTCTGTTATGGACAATCCATTAAAAGCACAGAAGTCCAATAACAAAACAGTGTTAGGGTTCAGATGATGGTTGGGAAGGGGGGGGGGGGAGGTTCCTCCCAACCACACCCGTCCAGGTTTCACTGTCATTGCCAATGTTAGCATTGAAGTTCCCCAGCAGAACTGCTCTACCTGGGCTGCCACCTTATCATGGTGGAGGGTTTGCRTGTCCCAATGATTCTAGGAGCTATGTTGTCAGTGGTTTTATGCCCCCGGTAGGGTCACCCACGGCAAACAGGTCCTAGGTGAGGGATCAGACAAAGTGCAGCCCAAAGACCCCTATGATGAGTGCAACAAATGGATTCAGTGTTCCCTCACCTAGGGCTCCTCTCTGGAGCCAGGCCTGGAGGTAATGCACATTGGCGAGCACCTGATTGCCGGGCTTTCGCCCATGGCTGGGCACAGCCCAAAGAGGAGACGTGGGTCCTCCTTCCCATGGGCTCACCACCTGTGGGAGTGGTCAGAGGGGTCGGGTGCAAAGTGTTATGGGCATAGGTCAAAGGTGAAGACCTTGGTGGTCTGATTCTTGCCTATAGAAGCTGGCTTTAGGGACGTGGAATGTCACCTCTCTGGTGGGGAAGGAGTCTGAGCTGGTGTGTAAGGCTGAGAGGTTTCGAGTAGATATAGTTGGACTCACCTCGGCGCACTGCTCGGGCTCTGGAACCAGTCTCCTCGAGAGGGGTTGGACACTCTTCCACTCATTGGACATTCTTCCACTCTGGAGTTGCCCATGCTGAGAGACTGAGCAGGAGTGGGCATACTTATTGCCCCCCCATCTTGGTGCCTGTACGTTGGGGTTCACACCGGTGAACGAGAAGGTAGCGTCCCTTTGCCTACATGTTGGGGGATGGGTTCTGACTGTTTGCGCCTATGCGCCTAATAGCAGTTCAGATTACCCACCTGTTTTGGAGACCCAGGAGGGGTTGCTGGAGAGCACTCCTGATGGGGACTCCCTCGTTCTGCTGGAGGACGCAAACAAGCCAAATTTAACCAATGCTAATTTTATCTACATACATACTTGCACCCACATATTTCATTACATTAGAGTTGTAAGAAATTAGTTATAATAGTTATTATATAAACTAACCTATCCTTTATCATTGATTAAAAACTGAACCTGATTTAATAGTTTGGTTTAACATAATATCTTAAATATAGAAAAATAAGACTTTTATTTTACTATTTTAAATATTTCTATTGTAGTTGCAAGTTTAAAGAGTGTAAAGTCTACTCTAAAGCTTCCACACTTTTTGGCACTCTTTACTCTGAGTGGTGACCATTATGTGTAACAAAAATAAACTATGGTTTTGGGCAGGCACAAAACTTCTGTAGTGAGGTTGTGATGGTTTATTATCTTGGTGACAGAGTATTGGAGTCCCGGATGGAGCTTGGGGGACTGCCACCATGTGCAGCCTGTGCACATCAACCTGACTAGGATTAGGTTAGGATGAACTAATATAGGTTTAGGGTTACCTAATTGAGAAAAATGCAGTTGAACCTTTTAAAAGTTAAATTTGTTAAGGATATGTTTATTATTTATTTTGCTGACGAAGGAGCCATAGTGGATTATGTTGAATTTTATTGAAATCCAAAATTTAAGTCAAATGTGTTTTCTTTGAATTTTACGTTAAATTGTGATTTCAAATCATTTACAACATGTACGCTAAGTGATCAACTGTGTTTGGTTGGATCAATATGTCAAATTATTRAAGGGATTCCTGATTACTTGTAAGTTAACATTAGACATTATTTGATAAAAATTTACTTCAACTGTAAAATAAAAAACAAAGGACAATTGTCCTCTGAATATCTTTAAAATTACTGTAGGCTGTTTTGTTTTTATAAAATTTAAAAACATATTGTCACGTGGACGTCACCATTTTATTAACGCTGCAAAACATACTACATACAAGATTATTATTTTGTTATTACAAGAATTAATACAACATTAAAGTCAAAACATTACAAGAAAAATCTCATTGTGTGGCCCCATTACTTCATCGTACTTATCCTCCCTCTAGGACAATATCTGATGATCAACCCTTACATCTGTCTACATAAAGGAGGATTTCTCAGAACGACAGGAAAAAGAGAGCTGACTTCTTGCCAGCAATGAAGGTAGAAAGGGCAAAGAGTAACTATACCTACATCAACTATGACAGACTCATGAAACCAAAGAAAGACAATAGTGCAAGATCTTAATTGATGGACTTTAAATTTTAATAATCAATTTTATTAATTTTAATCTTTATGAACTGAACGTATTGAATGCTTAATTTATCAGAAAGGGATTGAGAATTGCCCATTTAAATGTCCGTAGTTTAAAATATAAAGTGGATGAATTAAGTTCTATTTTAAGTGAAAATAATTTACACATTATTGGTATATCTGAAACACATATAGATAATACAATGCATGATGCTGAAGTAAAAATACAAGGATAGAAATAAATTTGGAGGTGGCGTAGCCTTTTATATTGAAGAACATCTGCCAGTAAAGCAAAGAAAGGATTTAAATATCTCAGGGGTGGAATCATTTTGGCTTCAAATCCATTTGCCTCACCTGAAACCTATATAATAGGCTGTTGCTACAGACCCCCAAGTTCTAATATTCACTATCTTGAGAAAATACAATATAGTGGCAAAAGTATTTGCTCACCTGCCTTGACTCACATATGAGCTTAAGGTACATCCCATTCCTAATCTATAGGGTTCAATATGATGTTGGTCCACCCTTCGCAGCTAGAATAACTTCACCTCTTCTGGGAAGGCTGTTCACAAGGTTTAGGAGTGTGTTTATGGAGATTTTTGACCATTCTTTCAGAAGCACATTTGTGAGGTTACATTCTGATGTTGGACAGAAGGTCTGGCTCTCAGTGTCTGCTCTAGTTCATCCCAAAGGGGTTCAATTGTGTTGAGGTCAGGACTCTGTGCAGGCCAAGTCAAGTTCATCCACACCAGAATCTG